TTAGCTATTATCTCTATTGTCCTGGTTAATGCCTGTATTATGTTCACAGAAATTCTAATCTTGTGAAAGCCTTGCATAACCTGGGAATTTGACCCGAACGAATCACTGAGATTAGTTTCTCATTTGCACAGTTACAAATTGAAACTTTAGATTTAAATGAACAGTAAAAGTTGAAGCTCTTAATGAAAGGCTACTGCAAAATATGCTGGCCGATATAATGGAGAAAGGGAAGGCCCAAGTGAGTGTTGACAACTCATACACCACTTTGGCCTGTTCTGTCCCATGTCTTTATTTTTTTATTAATTTAAACTACTAGTATTAAATCTTTACATAAATAAATTAAAAAACTTGAAAGGAGGTTATATACTACTAGTTTGTACTAGGATTTTTTCAGGAAAATGAAACAAATTTATTTCTGTATATGTACATATGTATACATATGCAATATATTTTTACAGTTTATTAATGCCAGAAACCTAAAGTGTTATAGTAGTGAAGTGTTCTAGGTGTTGAAATTTTCTGCACGTTGACTTGCTAATTTCTAAAAACCACATCAACTATGGTAGTTTTTATCAAGTAAATATTCTTACTGAATTAGAAATGTTCAAGTTCAGCAATTCTCCATATAGTGCTAAAAAAAACTTGGTTTGAAAATAGATTTGTCTGTTTTTATATTGTGTATACTATGTTCTGAAGGTTTCTGTAATATATATTGCTATTGTTGAATATATGGGTTGTATTTTAAGTTCAAAAGGTGAGAAATAAACGTGTTTAATATAATGTAGATATCTTATTTTCTTGTAACAAATGAGACTTGACTTGCATGTTTACTTCCATGATCGGACCAATTTTTGCTTCATTGTGTAATAGGCCAGTCTAAATAGAACATCCTCTGTCATTCCCTAGAATCTGCCACTCGAGGAAATAATATATACCACGGCTCATGTCACTACCATGCAATCATAGCCACAGTGGTTACAGCTGCGTATGACAGAGTATCTGGATGTAAATAATCTGCTATCTCTACTGTTATTCTTGAACTCTAATCAGGAGTTTCTGAGAAAGCATATAAGGTGAGCACTTCCTCCTGCTCTGTGATTGAACTATCAAAGACCAAAAGATTATGAGAATTCTTAGTATCTACAATGCTTGTAGTTTAATGTTTAGTAGTTTAAACTAGAGATGGACACTTCGTATTTGTATCTCGGGGATATGAATATGAACAGGTCCCAATTCCCTCCCCCAGAGCCATCCAGCCCACTCACAAGGCGCCACACAGCGCTGCAGTTCTTCTTCAGTGGCGACACACCGATCCCCAGCCAGCCAGCCTTTTCCCACCCCCTGCACAGCTGACCACTCACCCTGTGACTACACAGCCTGGCTCCTACCTCTATCCAGTCAGCTGCCCACCCAAACCAATCTCATACAGTATAACAAACTAATTCATGTTATGATCATATCAAGTTGGATGATAGCTCAGTGGTTTAGGTATCTGGCTGCACAGACTGGGAGCTTGATTCCCTACTGTGCCTCCCCATGAATACAGCCAGCCTCTGTAGTCTTGGGCAAGCTGCACAATCCTGGGGCACCCTCCCCCCCCAAGGGAATGGTAAACCATTTCTGAGCATTCTGTACCTAAAGAACCCTGGAAAGGATCACCATAAATCAGAATTGATTTGACAGCATATGATTATTATTACCATCATATTAAATTGTATATGGGATGTAGCAGGGACTTTAATATTTGTTTGCACTGTGTATTTATTTATTTATTTATTTATTTATTTATTTATTTATTTTTACCCTACCTTTCTCCTTAAAAGGACCCAAGGTGACTTTGCAGTTGTAGAAGTTACTGTTCCCATCAAAAAAGGCATTGGCACCCTTGTTTAACTTAACATGTCCCTGGAGCAAGAAAGGGTAGTTTAAAAAAATTGACATTTTCCCAATGCTCATAATTAGAGATGTGCACAAACCGCCAGTTCAGCATGGTTCATTTACCAGCCATGTAGCTGATCTGCAGTTCAGTGCCTGGCCTCCTCTGATGGGCCCCAACTAAAAGGCAGCATGCAGAGTAGTTGATGCAGGAGACCTGGGGTGCTGCTTCTGAGTGGGTGCCTACCAGAGGGGGCAGGATGCCAAAGCACATATCAGCTGTGATGCTGGTAAACGAACTCCAGTTCATGTCCATCTGTACTCATAATTCATGTTAGCCATTTCCTATTGAGGATAAGAGAGCTAAAGAGATGTGTAAAAGATTCCTGCAAGACTGCTGGGCCTTACATGTAAAAAGGCAAAATACACTATTTTCTTGCACATTTCCCCTAGGGTGGGGAAGGAGCCACGTGGCATAGGTTCTTATCTATAAATACATCTAGAGCCACAGCTCATGGAGAGAACTCGGCACATCTTGGACTAGCTAAATGACAACTGAGAAGAGTCTCCCCCATGGCAAGGACAAGGCAATAGGCAAATGCCATAACCTTACATACCCAAGAGACCCTTTGCTCCCGAAGGGTAAAATCTACAGTTTGGAGCAGGTATGTGGTCACAGCAATGGCTGTTTTTAGAGATAAGGAACTGGAATGAGATGTGGAGAGTTTAAAAGGAGGGGCCACCCTGTTCAAAATGCTCCTGTCCAATGTTGTACATATGCAAGGCATGGCGGTGAATTGTATTGTTATTGTTTTATATCCAGGCATAGATGCGGAAATATATTTCAATATATTATATTATCTATTCTTGCAGCATTAACAAAATTCATCACTTTATTCCAAATCATTTTATATTCTTTATTTATTATCCAAAGACCCATCATGAAGTGTCCTAACAATCTGTCACCATGGAAATGTGAACTGTGAGTACAAAAGTTTTCTCTAGGAGGCCTATTAGAGAATGTTCCCCATTATTAAACCATCATAAGAAATGAAATTTTCAAGTACTGTAATAACTAAAACACAACAGCAGATTTCTCAGTATGATTAGAATGCTTTATCTGAAAATAGGATGGGTGGGACTTAATAGATAGCATTTCAAAAGGTCTTTAGCTGATCTAATTAGATATCTCAGGCAAGAAAGACATACCCCATTATACTGCTTGGATGGATCCTCTTGAGAAGACAAGTGTGATAAAGAAATGTAATTAAATAAATTTTATTTATAAATAAATAAAAATAATATTTATTCTTTTCCACATGAAGAGATGTCATTCTTTGCAAGAATTGTAATAACCCTGCACAGCCTTCAACACTCCCAATAGATCTCACTGCAAGGGGAAAACATTGATTTTTGTTTCTGTTTCTCTCTGAGGATCAGAGGCTGTGAGAAAGAGTCACATCCCTAGTTTATGCTGAGGATGTGGAAGTATCAGAGCCTGCCCTTGGCTGAATATAACAAAACTACAGCTAAAAATATCTCCAGCAGTTTGCTCCATGTGTTCTGAGAACTTAAGAGCTTTTTCTCAACTTGATGCAAGGAGATGGAGGTAAAACGGCCAGCTTAGACTAGTGGCCCTCTTCTGCAATGTGGCTCTCACAAAAACAGAAGAGGCACTTGCTAGTGTCTGTCATCTGGGAAAGCTTACTCCCTTACGGGACACAATGTTTAAAGAAGGCCTTGTAGGCCATGTATTTTGCTTGGACAAATCCAGAAGCTGAAGTCAAGCAGTATAATCTGAAGGAATAGAAAAGCGGAGGATCAATCAATGAGACAAGATGAGGAGGAGTTTCAGGAACATCGTGGAGGTCAAAACAGTCCAAAAGGAACCTAACTACAAATGGAAACTATGGAGAAATTCCCAATATGCTGCAAAAACTCTGGTGGGTAAGATATAACAATCACATGATCATGTGCACTAGCATAGGGTTCCCACTAAAAATGTGATGCTTGACTCTAAAATTTTCTGAAGAGCTCTGCATGGATGCAGAATGACCCATGTGTCATGTGAGTCATAAGATTGTGAAGAAGAAAACAAATAGTTCAGATATGCAGCAGAGAGCATAACGTACACCAGGAGAAATCTGATTCTACCAGGATACTCAGAGGAAACAGATCTCAGTGAAGAATCCTTTTACTCAGGAAGACTTCATGCAACCTGCATCAATAAAAATGTGGGCAATGTATTACTGGAATAGAACATTCAATGACAGCATTTTGAATGGGATATGGAAATTGTAGCTGCTGGACACATAAGCCAAAATAAGTTGTTTGCCAACAGTTTTCACTTTTCATGTGTTCAAGTGGAAGAATAAACAAAGTTTACTTTTAAGCACATGAAAAGTTATGCCAATGTTCCATCCCTCCTAATGGTATACTCCTGAAAACGTTTACTTAGGGAGCAAGTTCTACTGGACACACCTATGTACATTTCATAACAAAACTTGTGAGGTCCTATATTTAAACATAATCATTAATGCCATAATCATTGGTTGTTCCCAAGTGTCAGAACTGTGCAATAGCGATGTGCTTAATGACTGCCATAATCTGCATTTCAAAGTGTTTTTAAGGGGAGGTGTAAAAATCACACTAGGAGATGGGGAGTATGACCAGAAGAACATACTGAAGGCATTTATTGCTGAGCAGTCCCTAAAAGGCCATAATCTCTCCATTGTTTAGTTATGAATTCAGCACATCATTAGCATTACGACGAAACCGCATTACGATCTTTTGCGATTGCAATTGCGATCGCAAAACAATAGTCTAAATGGGGGAATTTCGCTTTGCGATGATCAGTTCCCTGCTTCGCGAAGCAATTCTTCGCAAAACGACGATTTTAAAACAGCTGATCGGCGGTTTCAAAATGGCCACCAAGTAAACAAAATGGCTCCCCGCTGTTTTCTGGGACTGATGCCTCGTAAGACAAGCAGAGAAAATGGCTGCCCTATGGAGGATCTTCGCTGGACGGTGAGTTTTGACCCCAATGGAACGCATTGAAGGGGTTTCAATGCATTTCAATGGGTTTTTTTTCGCTTTATGATGTTTTCACTTAACGGCGATTTTCCTGGAACGGATTATCGCCGTTAAGCGAGGCACCACTGTATTCATTATTTTTAAAAGAAACTTTTGAAGCTATGCAAAAATTTGACTTCATAAACTGCCAGTATTCAGACCCAAATAAAATTATTCAATACTTTAATACTTACAATTATATAATCATAAACTGTGTGTAGGGTGTGGTCTAAAAAGTATCATACAAAAGACATCAGCCATTTTTTAATTAGTTCATGTTGATAAATAATACCAAGCGCCCTTTATAAATCATTTATAGTGAAATACTTCTTACTGTTACTAACACCTGTTGTTGTCATTTTTCATTTTTCACACTGCTAGGAGAAAGAGCATCTGTTGTTTTCTTTAACTGATTATAGTTCCAGTGCAACTGCTCCACCTCAGCCTTGTGTTGTAAACGTGCCTCATCCAGTTCTTTTAAGAGACGCTCATTCGTGGAAACCAAGGTTCTGTAAGACAGCATCGGATGGTTTTTGAAACTGACTGCTCTGACATTATGAAGAGCAACCTTGCATATAGAGACCCATAAAATGGTTCACTGAAGCCCTCCCTGCTCTGTCTTCATGCTTGATGTACACACCACCTCCAAATACTAGAACTCTACATGGCAGTGAAGGCAGAGAATTAACCACTGATTGAGATTTTTGGCAATCCCCTCTATGTTCATCCCAGGAGATACTGTCAGTACTGTACTCTACATCAGACATTCTCAGTTTTTTTTTTGTTTTTGTTTTTTTTTGTTTTTTTTGGTTTTTTTGCTATGGCCATAAACACAATCGAACGAAATACAGGCTTTATCAGAATTGTATACGTTACATAATGTATCTTATAAGACGATGTGATAATAACACTTTCCAGTCTGTGGCTCCCTTCAAATGTGCCACCCCCACACACACACACCAGAGGACCATATAACTCCCATTGATAATGGCTGTTCTACATCAAAAGTGGTGCCTCCACTTTCAAACAGAGCCAATTCAACAGCTGTAATAAATTTCTGCTCATGTGAGTAGTCTACTGCAGGAACTGGCAACATCTGGCCCAGGAGCCAAAATGTAGTTCCCCACCCCACCACCTTTGGAATCTCTCAGCATCCCCCACGTAACCCAGCTTTTAAAAAGATCCAACAAAATGTGGCTCAGTTTAATTGATCTTGAGCAGGGGTCTCCAAACTATGGTCAGCGGGCCACATCCAGCCCACATTGCCATTTTATCCAGCCCATGCATGCGCATGGGGGTGCGGGAGGCCTGATGAGCGGTGGGTGATGTGTAAGTGTGCATGCAGCCATGTATACGTTCCAGTTCCTTCAGCCCTCAAATTGTTGAAAATATCTGGTGTGCCCCTCATGGTCCAAAGTTCGGAGACCCCTGCTCTTGAGGTTTAGGTAGCAATTTTGTCCTGTTTAAGGACTGCCAGCACTCACCACATCATTGTTTAAAGAAAAATACATGAGAGGTTGTAGGAAGGGGATTTAGTGAAATAAGCATTTACATAAGAACACAATTTGGGGGGCTGGGGATTGCAGGATCAGCCCAAGGAGCAGAGCATATACACCTCCCAAATTTCTGAAAATCACCCACCTATTGTCTACAGCATACTCAAATGAACCCATCTTTTCACAACTAAACAATTGCAAGTTGCTGCTTTCCAGTTCATGGAACAGAACAGTCAGTCTTATATGAGTCCAATGCATCTTGTCACCTGCTCAGTGTTTTTAGGGAAAGCTGGCCTCAGTGCATTGTCAGAACTACTCTGAGAAACTAGTTTAGAAGAACAGGTTTTCTACAGAAAATATGAATTCAAAAGTTATAGTGATTATATATGCTTGGGTAATCATCTCAGAAATGTCTGCTCTTCCAAAACGTAGATGACAGTAGATACACTCTTTTACATCACTTCAGATAGCAAACCTGTTTAGCACATTCACTTTTTTCATCTGTGAACTCAGACAAAAGAAGTAGTCATGTTAGTCTATGCAAGGATATGAAGACAAAAATTTAAAAAATAAAAAGTAAGTGAAAAGCAAAAACATTGTGGCACCTTAAAGACTAACTGGGTTGTTGTATGAGATCACAGAGACAACCACTTGAAGAACCACAGTACAGTGGTGCCTTGCTTAGCGATGTTAATTCGTTTCGAAAAAATCGCTGCTAAGTGATAACACCACTAAGCGGTAATGAAAAGGCCATAGAAACGCATTAAAACGTGATTAATGTGTTCCTATGGGCTTAAAACTCACCTTTAAGCGAAGATCCTCCATAGCGCCGCCATTTTCGGTGCCTCTAAAGCGAGGAATCCGTGCCTGAAAACAGCGGGCGGCCATTTTGTTTACCCGGCGGCCATTTTGAAACAGCCGATCAGCTGGCCGAAAATGGGGGCTTTGCGAAAATAGCCCATAGGGAACATCACAAAGCGATCACTTTTGCGATCAAAAAAAGTGTTGCTAAGAGATTTCGCCGTAAAATGGAGCGATTGCTATGCGAGGCACCACTGTAATAGCTGCAACCACTGTCCCTGTAAGTCACACAAACAGGATAGTAAAAGCTCACTTGCTTGTGATGGAAATATCACCCCAAAATTGAAGAAATAACGCTTCTCTCAAAAGCTGCATGCTGCCAAGCCCAAACATCTAGCTGATAATACTGGATGAATGATGAAGATTAGGCTGGCGTTTCAGCTGGGCAGCGGGCTCTTGCAGAGGAGGGAGGTGGCTCCCTCCTTGTAAGAGCCCGCCTCCCTGCTGATCGGCAGTTCCAAAATGGCCACCAGTTTCGCGCCCCGCTTACCGAGGGCGCGAAAATGGCGGCGGTATGGAGGAACTTCGCTGAATGGTGAGTACGGAAGCCATTGGAACGCATTAAACTAAGTTTAATGCATTCCAATGGCTTTTTGCTTTCCGTTTAGCGAAGTTTTCACATAGCGAAGGTTAATCCGGAATGGATTAACCTCGCTATGCGAGGCACCACTGTACTATAAAGCCATAGTCGTGTGGTGCCATGGTCAAAACTGAGAAATCTAGGTGTGTCAGGCAGGTTGACGCAGGAGAGACAAAAGGTCAGGTTTGTACTGAAGATCAAACTCAATAGGACACAATGTTGGAGCAGACAGTGCCATCGTCTGTGGAGATCCAATGGTTGAAATTGGACAAGGCAAAGCAGACACCATGGAAGAGTTAGGTAAATTACTGTTGTGTCAGATTTCTTCAACTTCAGTATCTCTGCATTAACCACTGTAGAAGCCGCAATATCAACAGATGTCTCTCTTAAAGGAGTGCTTCTTATCTCTTGGTGGTGAGAGTCCTTGCTCAATGCCAGAACTTGAAAGACTGCAGCAAAGTGATCTTGGGACAACTCTGGGATCAAAATCAATACTGGCACTTTCTTGAGCTGTAGAGTTCAATTTGATGGTGATGGATTTTCTAATCTCAGACAACACACCAAAGTTGAGGCCAGAGCAGATGGAGAGGCCAGTTTGGGGTGATTTTATCTGCTGCTTTGAGGGATTTCTCCCACAAAGACAAAAGCTTCAATTGCCTGAGCTTGAATCTTTGTAAAACCACAGCAAATAGAACAGGTCTGAGGCAAATGGGCCTCACCAAGGCAAAAGAGGCCATGAGAATGGCCATCAGACTGGGTAATCTTACCTTGGCAAGATGTATATTTCTTAAACAAGGCTGAAGAGGCCATGGGCAAGGCTCACAAGAGAAAAAAGGGAAATAAAAGAAAGTACAGTGGTGCCTCAACTTACAACCATAATACGTTCCAGAAGATGGACGTAACTCAAAATAGTGGTAAGTCAAAGCACCATTTCCCATAGGAATGTACTGAAATGCAATAATCTGTTCCGGCCGAAGAAAAAATCACCAAAAAAAAAAAGTCACTGCAAGACTCATTGGGAATGCACAGAAAACAAATGGAGCAGATCAGAAATGCACAGAGAACAAAGGGGGAAGGTCAGAAATGCAAGGGGAAAAAAGGAAAAAGCAAGGGAAACATGCAGGACCCATTGGAAATGGGGAAACCCCCCCAAAAGCAACCAAACCCCTCAAGACCCATCGGAAATGGAGGGGAAAATGCAAAAAAAAAAAAAAAAAAAAAACCCAAACCAAATAACCCCCCCAAGACCCATCAAAAATGGGGGGAAACCCAAAAAGCAACAAAACCCCCCAAAACCCATCACAGCACAGAAACATAATTCCCCAGCCCAAAACTCCACTGCAAAAACAACCAGAATAGTTTTTAAAAAGCAGAAAACAGCACCTCACCTTACCAGGCAGCCTGAAGCCTCCCTGCAAACACACACACACACACTCAGAAGCAGAAGCGAGGCAGTCCCAAGTCTCCTCCTATGCACACTCTCTAACTGCTGGGGCAAAAGAGCTACAAAGAAGCAGCCTCGTTGCCACCTATAGTTAGAAATTTGAATTTCCTGCCTCTTCACCCTGCCTTTTTCTGTTCATAAGTGGAAGCTCCAGTTGCAAGTAAAAGCAAAATTTTGCAGCTGGAGCTGGTCGTAACTCCAAATGGTCATAAGTAGGGATGTTCCCCACTTACGATCATTTTTTGCTTCTACTTGCGAGGCACCACTGTGTAGAAATGAGTAAGGAGCACTTAGCTAAGTCCAAAATGAATTGATTCTCTTGGCAGACAGAAAAGAATTGAGACCCGCTAGATCATGCGTGGGAGGAGGAACAGGCAGCACTCTTGCCAGAAATGCTTAATTTGGAATGTTCCCAAATAAGCTTCTGCGCAGGGGAAGAGATCCCAATTTGTGTGAATGCATAGAAATCATGAAGAACTGTCATTTTGCCTTTCCTTCCCTGGGAAAAAGCAAAATGTACCTGTTACAGTAACGTTGACATCACCTGTCCGTCACTGCTGAAGCTGTATGTCATCTGCCAATAGCGTGACGGAAGGTGGGACATAAGGGGTGGAGCTAGTGTATATAAGGGGAGTGAATGGTGTGAGTGCTTCAGATAGAGTTTAAGATAGGGATTTGAGATAGGGCTGGTTAGGGACCAGATAGGGTTATGCTAGGGAGATAGGGCTTGATGATACTGTGAAGTAAGAACTGTGCTATCTAGTGAGGGTCTGTGAGAGTGTGTGTCTGAGTGTTACTTTATTATAGTGATTGCCTTACTATTTTTCTTCAAGTGATTTACCATTCCTTTTGTTGTACACAATAAACACAAGTTCTTTTATTTTAAAATCATACATTGGCCTGAAGTATTATTTGACGGAATGGTTGGTGGCAGTGTGAATTAAGTGTGAGTGAGTGTGACGTAATAGCCCCTTTGTGATGCACGAGGAGGCTGTTACAATAAAACTGGTGTCCAGCGGCGGGATACGAGTAGTCCAGTAAAGCCTTGGCAAAAGTGACCAGAGCGAAGATCTTCAGTTAGGGTCATATGAAGTGGAGAGCGTGGGTTACCTTCTAGGGCCTGACTCAAGGGGAGCAGAGCCTAGTAGAGGCGTGCTAAAACTTCAGAGTGAAAACTGAGTTTCCTTGTCCAGCTCTGTAGAGTCCATTTTGTGAGGGAGAGTGGCCCAAGGCAAAGGCTGTGGTGGTTTGGTCAGCGTGTCCAGAGTTTAGGGAAACTCTGAGGGGACATAGCGAAGACCAAGGGCAGCAAAGCTGAGGGATCTCCATTTAAACAGCAGAACCTAGGTCTGGGTAGAGCTGTGTTAATTTAAGAGTGGTGCCAGAGGCAAAATAATAAAGTAACCTTTGTTTGGCAAGAGGCCCAGCTTAAGGGGCAGAAGCCAAAGAAGCATAGTTACAGTTGCTAGCTGTGTGCTGGTGAAGGCTGCAACTATATATCACAGACCAATAGCACAGGAAAAAAGTGACTTTAAACAGAGGCTTGAAAATTGAGAGAAGAGCCTTTTGTGAATAAAATGCCCTTAACCCGTAGTAGAAAAACTGAACCTGAAGCAAGATCTGCTGAGATGGCAGCTAGTTCAGATGAAGAGTTTAATGGG